AATAATAATAATAATAATAATAATTATTATTATTATTATTATTATTATTATTATTATTATTATTATTATTATTATTATTATTATTATTATTATTATTATTATTATTATTATTATTATTATTGTTATTAGTAGGTAACACCTCCCAACGTATTGATGATTAGTTTTAGTTAATATAATTAATATAAAAAAGTTATACCTTGAACCCTGCCAGTCACCTTCGCAATGACATACCCCTGTCACGTGATCACAGGTAGCATTATTTGGACAGATACATTTCTCTAAGCATTGATTTCCGTAGAAGCCCTGTTCACATGGTTCGCTGCAAAATTGTCCCTTCCAGCCTGGCATACACAAGCATGTGCCATTCTCATGCAAACAGATCGCATCATGTTCACATTGGCAACTATGGTTACATGATACTCCGAATGTTCCTATTTCACACGGTTCTGTGCAGTAGCGTCCTTTCCAACCAGGACCACATATACAAGCGTTAATATGCATATCACAGCATGTATCGTAACCGCACTTTTCCGGACACAACTCACACATTTCCCCACATGATTCTCCGCTACATTTTTCGGTACACGAATGGCCACCGAAGCCCGGATGACAGATACAGTGGCCATCGACATGGTCACAGAAGCTGTATGGGCCGCAATCAAGGCACGAATGCATGCACCCGTCTCCATAGAAACCTTCAGGACATGTCCTCTCGCAATATGTCCCTGTCCAACCGGCTGGGCATACACAAGATCCGTCGAGGGGGCTACATGTAGCGCCACTTTGACATTGACACTCACCACGACAACCAAGTCCAAACGTATTCTCGGGACATGCTGAAGTTTAAATATAGGCATACATTTAATAATATATGTTGTATGAACTATTACAGAAGTTATATATTATCATTGGGCTTATTCGACTGGTTCATTTCGTTGAGTATGAAATTTCGTTGAGTATTATTTTCATTCGACTGGTTCGTTAAATAGACTTCGTTGACAACGAAAATTAACGTAAATCAGAGTGCGTTAATCAGCGTTAAATTATCTACGTGACCCAAAAAACATGGCCGATTGGTGAGTTTATAAACAACATTTCCGTTAATATAACTTAGATTAAATTTCATAAAATAAAAATTACAATATTTACCCACATGGAGTAAAAAAAATTGTAGGCTAACAAAATTCAAAAACTGGATGAAAATATTTTTTTTTACGAAAAACCCATAGGCCTACTACCACAAGTTGAAGCAATTTTGATTACGCAACGTGTATCGCGGTAACTATACAGCCATTTTGTTTTGTCGAGTATTTACAAGTTTTCTATTCGACTGGTCGTCTTCGTTGAGTAGGATTTTACCAAGGTAATTCAATTGCCTTTATTTTACCGCTGCGCAGGTGGGCGTGGTTTAACGAAGAACGACCAGTCGAATACGGCCATTAATACATTATCTTAACCGTATCTGGTAGGCCTTATGTATATATATTTATTTATGATATATATATATATATAAATATATATACCTGTATATATATATATATATATATATATATATATATATATAATAAGAATAATTTTATTAATATACATAATTAATTATAAAAATATGTTAATGAATGCTTATATAAACAAATCATATTAATGGTACTAATATTATCATTTTTTGTTAAAGTTATTAGTGATATCATTATGTGTTAATTGTAGCATCGTCTTTCAATTATTACCAATATTACTATAATTATCATAATATAGTTATCATTGTTGTGTGTTTTTTCTGTATTTTACCTTGACAATAATGCACTTCATCATTAGGCATATAACCAGGACAGCAATTGTACGATAACAACGATACAAAATCTACCGAGTTGTTGTGTGCCTCTGTTTCTATACTACCGCTACTGAATAAAATCCAAAACAAATTTAATAAAGTAATTTAATTATAAAGTTAATATTCATTAGTACATTCTTAAAGACATTAAACAATCAACGCTTAATTCAAAAAGCTATTCCATCATTACATGCAGGGTTGTTGATAATGACTTTATCTCTTTACATGTAAACTTTCTTATATAACGTTTGACTTTTCGGAGATTATGTCTTGTCGTTTGGAATGCGTAAGAGGAGGGCGTATCACAAGCTGACGTGTGTGCGTCGAGTATAATATCTGTCTCTTATACACATCTAGATGTGTATCTATTATTTCCTGTCTCTTATACACATCTAGATGTGTATAAGAGACAGATATATTTACGCTTACGGTAACCAAGCTATGTACTGCGATGATATATTCAATAAAAATACCTTGATATAATTAAATGATAAGATGGTGAAGATAAATATAAGGTTGATAATTATTACACGATAGCCTATATCAGTGCATACACTGCTCCGCTTAGTATACCGGTACTGAAATTGATTTTTTGATTATGTATAATAAATGATGTTTATAATATTAAATAGTAATCATATTCGTAATAAATATTAATAATAATTGAAAAAATTATGATAATAATAATAATCTTTTTCCTCTTAAAATATTCTATAGGTCTGAGCTAATAAAAATATAAATCAAAATTTGAATTATTTAGGTCTACTTCTTTAATTGAGTAGAGTACACTTTAAGTAATAAACTTTTAATCGATCATGTGTATTCGATAAGTTATTGCAGACGCATAAATATTATGTTTAATTATTTCCGAGGACCCGTATTAGTCAGTATATTACCAGAAATCAATATCGGTACTGTAAAGTCTGGTTTCCATAATAATCGCTACGCGCTGTATCGCCGACAGCTGGGGGGCGACGCTGATTGGTCAGTGGAATCGAGAAGCTTTCTTGATTGCGTCTCGGGGAAAACTAGTTACAAAATGCAACGATTGCAGTGAATGCAATGTAGTGACTGTGTAGCAACTTTATGGAAACCTGGATTTAATCAGCCAAAAAGAAGAGAAATACCTTGACCTGTGTCTCATTTTGAAATTATTACGTCTGAGCTTTTCAAAGGTAAAATTTCAGTTTTTAAACGATTTTACTCTACGACGTACAGTTGCGGATCACGACACTATTACTGGAGTCGAACGAATGGCAATCGAAGACCTCGTCCAAAGAGCGCAGAATCATGGTTGATAGAAGAAAGTCTTTGGGATGTTCTGGGGCCCATGGGGCTGGGGCCCAGGGGGCTACGCCCCCTGAAAGCTTTGCAGTTCTAGCCATGTTATCTCTTATTTAAATGATTTCACACCGGTGGAGGAGGATCGCCAATTTTGCCACCTCTTGGATCCGCCACTGGACTATTATCTTCGACTTTAGCTACAACGGTCCGCAAACACAGTTTTTTTGCAGAAGATCAACATCGTCGTAGTCAACACTAGCATTGGATGATAGTGTTCTTGTGGCATCCATTGGGGTCATGTAACTTGAATCATACGTAGAGGTCGAGTCTCGGTTCACCATTGAACGAATGTTATCGTGCGTGGTTTTAACTGAAGTGATGTACTCTGCCACACTGTCCAGCTCAGCGGCTGCGAAACGTTGGGTTGGAAATTGACGAGGCTCCGTCTTAGGTCGTGAAAAATTTGAAGATGTACCGACGGTTGTGACATAACCAACAGCCATATCATCCGGACACGTTCTAACCCCAGTCACGTAGTCGTTGGTAACGCTTGAATCGGATGAAAACACGTGGCCGTGACGCGACGTTGACGCCAAGTGCCCAACTTTTGAACTCAGTGAAGTTACGTAATCGTCAGCGGAGATCCTCGAAGAATTTTCTTTAGTAGAGGCGTATGTGCTTTGTTTAAAACTGTTTGCAAACGATAGTACAACGGCATAGTCATCACAATCAAATTGGTTATTACGACTGGCTGTAAGTTCTGGGACTTCAGCGCCCCCGGTAGTCCTAGGTCTGGGGTGGATAATAGGTTTGTGTAGTAGGGGACATGGATCGCATTGTTGATTCTGTTTGACATGAAACCCTTGGATTTCGTAAAGCGAGGGAAGAGAACGTCTGTGTAAACTGGTAGTTGATGTGTCGTCATCAAGATCAGTGTGTTCTGACATGCCAATACAAGAACATCGACTACCCGGCTGCTGTAAATCCAAAAAAGCAAACTCTTGGCGGGAATGACCTGAAATCGAAGAATTTAATGTCAGTCTGCTGATTAAAAAAAATAAATAAATAAACGATCAATATAGTTTTATTTATTTATTTTATTGCCTTAATTTTATGCGTAGTATTATTAGCGCCGATAGAATCCGCCCACGGTGCGACGCTCGTGGCGCATCTATTTTAATTAGATTCATAAGCAATCATGTAAAATTTGCAGACATATTCACTCCCCCGGGGACCATTCCATGTCGTGATGTTCAGTTGCGCGCATAATTCCCTATCCTATCAAGTGGCAATTGACCTTTTGGGAGCAATTTAGAAGTGCATTGCCAAAAGGCAAACAAGTGGCTAGGGGAAGGGCAGGGGGAGATTTGACCTTTCGGTTTTTCAATTGAATAGACGCCTTAATGCTACTAGACCTGTCGGTTTCAATTCAATTCAATATTATTTATTATCAAAGGCACTAAGAATACATGTCTTGAATGTTGAATGAATGTAAATGCAAAATTGTCTTAAATAATGCCATATAAATTAAAAGAAAAACAAAATGTTGCCAAAGTGTAAAAAGAGAAAACATATCCTAAATCTTCTGACACCAGAAGTTTCAATTCTTCATTATAAATGTTTGTTGACATAATTATATTACTTTTTTTAAGAATGTGTTAATGGCACCACGAAGACTTACCTGCTTAAATTGGAACTCACAGGATATATATTTTTTTTAGAAAGAACGAAACATAAATATACTCTGTTTTAAAAATAAATAAACATGAAAAAATAGACGACTATTATTTCAGCATTCTGACTTACGTTTTTTCTCACGTCTTGTTACTCGGACGACTCCGTGTGACCTATATGCAAAAAACAAAAAACAAAAAAAAAAAAAAAACACAGTCAGTCGATAAATATAAAGCATCGATCATTCAATCACTCAACCGACCAATTAATGAATCATTCATTAATCATATCATTCAATGAACCAAGCAACCAATCAAACATCCAAACAACCAACCACCCGACCAGACAACCAACCAGCCAACCAACCGACCAACCAACCAAACATCCAACCAACCACACACCCAACCAACCAACCAACCAAACCAAACACCCGACCAAACAACCAACCAACCAACCAATGAAACAACCTACAAGTGCACATTTTTGAATGGGTGTTTCTAGCAAGATTAAATTCTATTTGAAATGCAATATTTGAGCATGTATTTTAAGTCTGCGTTTTGCTAAGTATGAGAAAGCTTTGGAAGCTTTATAAAGAAAAGCTACTAAACCATTACAATGAATGANATGACCTGAAATCGAAGAATTTAATGTCAGTCTGCTGATTAAAAAAAATAAATAAATAAACGATCAATATAGTTTTATTTATTTATTTTATTGCCTTAATTTTATGCGTAGTATTATTAGCGCCGATAGAATCCGCCCACGGTGCGACGCTCGTAGCGCTTCTATTTTAATTAGATTCATAGGCAATCATGTAAAATTTGCAGACATATTCACTCCCCCGGGGACCATTCCATGTCGTGATGTTCAGTTGCGCGCATAATTCCCTATCCTATCAAGTGGCAATTGACCTTTTGGGAGCAATTTAGAAGTGCATTGCCAAAAGGCAAACAAGTGGCTAGGGGAAGGGCAGGGGGAGATTTGACCTTTCGGTTTTTCAATTGAATAGACGCCTTAATGCTACTAGACCTGTCGGTTTCAATTCAATTCAATATTATTTATTATCAAAGGCACTAAGAATACATGTCTTGAATGTTGAATGAATGTAAATGCAAAATTGTCTTAAATAATGCCATATAAATTAAAGGAAAAACAAAATGTTGCCAAAGTGTAAAAAGAGAAGACATATCCTAAATCTTCTGACACCAGAAGTTTCAATTCTTCATTATAAATGTTTGTTGACATAATTATATTACTTTTTTTTTAAATGTGTTAATGCCACCACGAAGACTTACCTGCTTAAATTGGAACTCACAGGATACATATTTTTTTTAGAAAGAACGAAACATAAATATACTCTGTTTTAAAAATAAATAAACATGAAAACTATTATTTCAGCATTCTGACTTACGTTTTTTCTCACGTCTTGTTACTCGGACGACTCCGTGTGACCTATATGCAAAAAAAAACAAAAAACAAAAAAAACACAGTCAGTCGATAAATATAAAGCATCGATCATTCAATCACCCAACCGACCAATTAATGAATCATTCATTAATCCTATCATTCAATGAACCAAGGAACCAATCAAACATCCAACCAACCAACCATCCGACCAGCCAACCAACCAGCCAACCAACCGACCAACCAACCAAACATCCAGCCAACCAACCAACCACACACCCAACCAACCAACCAACCAAACCAAACACCCGACCAAACAACCAACCAACCAACCAACCAACCAATGAAACAATCTACAAGTGCACATTTTTGAATGGGTGTTTCTAGCAAGATTTGATTCTATTTGAAATGCAATATTTGAGCATGTATTTTAAGTCTGCGTTTTGCTAAGTATGAGAAAGCTTTGGAAGCTGTATAAAGAAAAGCTACTAAACCATTACAATGAATGATTAAAGGCACTTGGATTGCCAACCCAGGAATATAGACGTGTGAAGGCGGACATTATTCCAGTATACACCCTGACAAATAATTTCCAGTTCAGGTTGATGAATAGGTACCGGTAGGGTATATTACATAGCGACCTAACTATCGCAAACTTATTCAGTATTTGCTAAGTTTATAACCATGGTACGTGTGTTAATATGTCAAGTATTAACATTAGTTATTTTATTCATTTGATTTATCTGTCCTTATTCAATGTTAATATATACATAATGAGTATAATATATACTTTCATTGCAGAGAAATATAATGTTCATTGTGAATTGAATGGAACTTTGCCATCAATAACATACATTTCTACCCTCCAATTCGAGACTACCATTGGGACCTCAACATTTGGGGTGGTCTCGGGTTTGGTCTCCAATTAGTGTGTTAGATTTGTGATAAAAAATTGAAGATTGTTTTTCGATTCTTTGAAAAAGTGGTCTCCAATTAGAAGGGTCTCGGAATTACAGAGGTCTCAAATTGGAGGGTGCACTGTATTACACTTCAAAGGACGTCATACCCTGTGATTTTAAAGCAAGAAACCCGTCTGCATTGCACTGATAAGATGATTATTAGAATCACGGCAACAACTCCGGCAGCAACAATACTAAATGCCATTAGAAACACATCCATATCAATCCCTTCGTTTGCCTGTGTATTCTCCTTTGAACGTACCGTTAGTGTATCATTCTCCGTGGATGCTACACAAGTAAAAACAAAGCTTATTAGCGCAAATAGTGTACAGCTCTGTAAACACAATCATTTTTTTTTTGTTTGACAAAAAGCTGTTGTATGTCCATACAGTATAATGATGGTCATGATGTCCCTGTCACATGTTTTTGTCAAATACACTTCGACAGTCTGTGCATTGCTCAAATGAAGTTAGTAGAACTATGGAAGTAGAGGCATATGAAATATTGAAAATTGTATAACTTGATAGGACCATGATATAAGCAGGGTTCGAGGATGGGATGGTGGAGGTGAGCATGTCCAGATCGTAATACTTAACAAGAAGAATAGTAAAACAATGGGCTCAAAACAGTGGCGGATCCAGATTTATTATGAAGTGGCGCGAATGACAATCAGTAAGACTGCCAGTTTTTCACGCTCTTGGATCGTCACTGAAAAAAAATACTTATAACAATATTTGGATTTCGTGTTTGTTAAGTACGGTAATGCGAGAGGATAAAATGAAATTATATGAGTTAACCATACGGTTCTTCGATGGTAAGATAGTTAACAGTGTTACGCGCACCCTGTATTCATCAATAGGCCTCAATAGATCCAATTAGAAACAAAAAAATATGACTCTTTAATTTTCTCCAGATTTTAATTTTTTTCAGGGCAACGGTATTCCATCTTAAGCATTATCACCTGTGGGCGGGACATCAGGGACACATGTATTTCCGAGTGGCTTGAAACCATTACAGCAGGTGAAAATTGTTAGGTTGGTCGCATACTTCTCGAGTCTAGTTACTTGCACTTCTGTAGGGCCGCTACTGTAAAAAGAAAAACAATAATGCAACAGTATGCGTTAAAGACTCATAGACAAATACATTTAACCACTCAAAGCGAACCTTGACTCTTATAATACGAAGTAGGCCTGACTTAAAATTATACCAATTGTTAATGTCTTTCAAAATAATATATTATAATAATAATAATAATAATAATAATAATAATAATAATAATAATAACAATAATAATAATAATAATAAACAATAATTAACTAGAAGCTGAAGTCAGCCCCACTAGAATTATTTATAATCCTGTCTAAATGGAAATTCCTACGAAAACAGACACATTGAGGCCTCATCGGACCTACGCCTACATAATATTATATCCCCGGACGAAGAGAGAATGATACACTAAAACTGTAAAAGGCCACAAAATAAAGCACATTAACACAATTTGATGTTTTTTTCAAAGCACAAATTGAATGAATTTCAGTATTAAAAAGGTCATGGCCCATTAAATGTTGATATCTGAATACAAATTTGAGCAACTGAGATTTTGCTAACCATATGCAGCGCCCTCAATATAATTTACCTGGTGCATTCTTTTGACGGTGGTCGATGATAATCGATTTTTGAACACGGATTCGTTGTTGATGAACTTGGTATCTTTTGCGTAATGACACGATAACTAATAACCCTGTAATGATATTAAAAAAGGTTAATGTTAACATCTGACCGTTATGAGGCATTTGCGAGAGAAAAGTTTCCGCCAGTTTAAAACAAACTCGGGCTTCGTTTGGAATTTGAATCCAGTTGGAAGCAACTTGTTCCACATTTTGTTTGCAATGAGTGGAAG